GAGAATTCGCGACTGTGAAGTGCCCCGTAAAATTTCTCATTTCTATGTGACGGTATCGGGAAACAAACGGAAATTGTAATTAAGTGTTAATGAATCGTTGGAATGTGGCATGTTGGGTTCGAATAGAGGATATTTAGAGTTTCCTGTCGATTGTAATGCAGCTGAAGAGTGTTCAAAATACTAAAAAAACCCTCAACAATTATAATCCATCAAACGAAGTAATTAACATTCGTATGAAAAAACGGAATGTTAAATGCAATTGTCTGGTTAACATTCCAAATATTTTCTTCGATGATCACGACGAAATTACAAATTCCAATTATTCCAAAATTCTCTCTACAGAAGAAAAATAACAACTTTCGATCTCACTCGACGTTTAATCTCAATTTCTATATTAAAAGATCCACGAAACTTTCTAATTTCACTCAAAAGACTTAAAAAACCCGATATCACGAAGAATGAAAAGATATACTATCTTAACCAAGATAATTCAATACTTCGAATCTTACTTCCATCTTCGAGTATCGATTCATCGCGTCACATTAGCTGGTGTCAGAATCAGCTCGATGGATCGAGGATCTCCCATTAATTTAGCCATCATTGAACGTTACGATCGTGGCAACCGCCTTTATTGGCCTCCACACTCGTGCAAGATCGTGTCGAAGGCGACATCGTTCGCATTTGGCATAAAACATCCTTTAAACATCCTTTCCTCCCTCCCTTCCTCCCTCTATGTTCGCCGCTCTTCACGCTCTCCACGCTCGATTCCTCTTTTGCTCGTCGTTCGATCGACCCATTCATTAACGACGTAATTAGCCGCTTGCCCTAATTGCCGTTAAGTCCAAGCAAGTTTTGCCGGTAAACGACGCTCCTCGATTCGTATCCTCGCCGTAGTTAACGAACTGCGGATGAATACGGTCGCGCTACTCGAGGAGGAAAACCGAATTGTGCCACTCTCTACTCCCCTCCTCCCGGATTCCCCCTCCTCGGCGCTGATATTTCATTATCAGGGAAGCTTTCTCGTTGACGATTTGCTTCTCCGTCTTCGATATTTCATTATTGGGAAACGTACTTCACCGTGATTAAGGTCACCCCCTTATTAAAGTTCTCCCCTCCTCTCTCTTTCTCTCTTCCTCTCCTTCTTTTTCCGTGCGATTGAAAATAAGCAGTTTTTGCGGATGTATCGTTTTGATCTCCTTCAGTAGGGAAGAATTTTTCTTTTCTGCTTATGAGAAAGGAATGAATTATGGGTTTATCCGGTTTTTTTTTCTTTTCATTTGGAAAGTAGGAAAGCAAGGATTAATAATTGTTAAATATAGATTGGAAAGAATCCAACGTTTCTCGTTCATTGATAAATCTTGTAGAATTAATAAACGTGGAATTTATTTGAGGTAACGATTCTTGTTTAAGATTTATTTATAATATTTCTTATAAAATTCTGCGCAATCGTAGTTCCAAGAATTGTCCATCTTCCAATTCAATATAATTCTATAAAAAATTGTTACGATAGGACAGTTCAATCTCACGATGTTGTATGTAATATTCGATGTTTTATGGAACGATTTACCATTATCATTGATAAATAACGTAATTAGCTTCCTCCATTGTACATCTTCCTATATTCTCAGTCAACAATGGACAACGCAACAAAAGACCGTTGAATACACTGTTGAAAAAGCAAAAGGGATAAAACAATTATCAGCTGAATTACTTTGTAATTAAGATTATAAGGATTCGTTTCGTTTGCTTTACGTTTTACGTTGAAAAGCTTTTTCTCGTGTGTTTCACTGTTGCACGTATTATAAGATTGTATGGAATTGAAGAATAATTTTGTTGCGAGTTGCGGGACGATAATTGAAAATGGAGAGATGAGAGAACAATGTTCGAGATTGGCTCGGTATGCGCTATATATAAAATAAGAAAAAAAGAAATATATGCAAATAGATGGCCAATGAATGTAACTCTTTTCGTTCAATATACGGAGAGAAAGAGAAAGAGAGAGAGAAAAAGAGAGAGGTATAATAATCGTTTTCACACTCGTTTATGATATATTATTTTTCCTTGTCTAATATTCATGATGGTAAAAAAAAAATAATGTTTATCAATGAATATGCAACGTTCGTTCATTATTGATATTTCATTCGAAAGGAAATGAGGCTTGTACATGGTTTTGACTGCGCATCAATTAAAACATGGCCGTTGATAGATTTATCCCGCAACTATTTCTGATATATGTATATCGATATTACAAAATTAAACGATAATTGAATGATAAATGTTGAGAATTAATATTGGAATGGAAATCGTGAAAATAAACGTTCATTTAAATGCACTTAAAATATAATAACTGATACTTTAATGTAAACATAAATCGTTTTAATTAATTTACTCAAACGTTTCATTTACGAAGAACAAAATTATTTCTCCGTTTAATATCCTTGCAATGTATTTCTTTTGTTTCCAAATTTTATCGAATTTATATCTAGTATTTAAACGAACGATGGAAATATTGCGTCATTAAACGAAGTATTAAGACGAATTTAATTGAACTTCATTCAATTTAAGTTAACCAAAATTTCAAACGTAAATTCAAAGCGGTTTAAGTTAACGAAGAACCAGATTTTAAGAAATTCAAAATCCGAAATACTTCTCTCTATTCAACACAAATTATTAAAATAATTATTGTAATAATACTTTTTCATCATCGACCATCTTCAATTATTTACGTATTCACTCATCACGCGACGATGAAGATTTCCCATAAATTCCATCCGGGGATAGGATCATTTAAAATTCGTAATGGATAAACATTTAGGCGTAACGTGAGATATGTATGAGGAAGGATATCAGCTTGTTACAGCTAATTGCTAATCATGCAGCATTTACATAGGAAGAACGTGAATCGTGCGCAAAGGGAAACGGGCCAAATAGTAATAGTACATGCACAACTCGCTATTATAGCGAATTCCTATCACGAAACTGTGCTTTTCTTCGTCCGTGGAACACGAGATCGAGAAGTTTGTTGAAAATAAGAATCTTAATCAAATTAAATTTCTCTCCTGTCTCGAGATATCACTGAAACATACAAGTATTTTAGTTAATGCATAGAAGTTATTAAAGTATTATTATCGAGATATACTATTATACTATTTATTATAATTGTGGAACTGGAATGGAAATTCGTGTCAAGAAATAATATCGAGTTAAAGCATAAAAAAAATAAATCTTTGATTTATATATGAAATTGATATTATAAAAAGAGGAAGGAAATTTTCCCGTCTTTCCCGAGGCGAAGTGTAAATCGAAAATTTACTTTTCAACTCGGTCGACATTGAAAAATTTATCGCGCTATTCACCGCGCTTTGGATTTTTAGGTTTCGTTTAGCGATCGATCTCGATAAACGATAAACTTTTATTTATAGAAAGTCAAAGTTACAAACGGTCCGTATACCTCGACCTACATTATCCTCCTTTCCTCGATTCTTGCCCTTTCTCCTCGCGAGAGGTTGAAATTTTTTTCGGTACTCGTGTACCAAATCGTAAAACTCATTTCAAACAAAAGGGGAGGTAAACTGTTCTAAACATTCGAGATTATCAAAAAAACCTCGATTTTCTCGTCGAGCACCAGATGCTTGCTCGTTCTATTTCACTGTTTTACGATTTTTTCCTCTCTCTCTTTTCTTCCCTCCTCTCTTATCTCGACACAAAATGCGCAAGGGAAAAAAAAAAAAAAAAAAAGGGCAAACACGTTTTAAGGGGGGAAAAGTTGGGGGGAAAAGAAAAGAAAAAAAAAAAAAAAGAAAAAAAAAAAGGGCGACACCGTTTTAACGGGGGAAAAGGTTGGGGGAAAAAAAAAAAAAAAAAAAGGGCAAACACGTTTTAAGGGGGGAAAAGTTGGGGGGAAAAGAAAAGAAAAAAAAAAAAAAAGAAAAAAAAAAAGGTCGACACCGTTTTAACGGGGGAAAAGTTGAGAGGAAAAGAAAAGAATAGAAAAAGAAGAAAAGGAAAGAAAGAAAGGAAGAAAGAAGAAAAAAAAATGGAACGATCAAAGGCTAGGTCGCTAAGATCAGAATTACGCGTCCGATTGGCGCAAAGGGAAATTCTGAATTCATTTCCCCCCCTCCCTTGACGAGCCTTCCTCGGTCGTTTTAGAAATTGCCCCGCAATTTAATTCAATCGATGCCCTCGCGAGCCGGTGTACCTGCTAATTACAGGTAATTAAATAAGTCGCGGAGCGAACGACTTTTACATCGGCGCATCGAGGTCTTCTTCTCATTCTTCCACTCGTAACATCCGATAAATCATTATTGTTCGTTGATTAAAAAGTTTAATCTCTTAAGTTCTACGCACGTGATTGTTCTGAAATGGGCAGACGATATCCAAGTTGAGAATAGAGAATCATCGGGATGCTGTAGATACCGTGCAATTATATTGACACGCCGTGTTGTAGTTTAACGTGTATTTTCACGTGAGATGGATGTGACGATATATGGTTGGGCCAATATTGGCAGGAAATTTCGTGACATCGCGATAATACGGTTACCCTTACGAGAGGATGGTCTCGTCGTGATTGAGAAGGGAATGACGTGGAATCTGAGAGTTTTGCTGTACAAGGATATAACAACAAGATAAAAGGTATTACTTATCTAAATATTTTCATTGTTGAAAGTTGATTAGCGCGATTACTCACCAATCGATCAAATTCGTTTCATTAAATATCCTTTTCTCCTCTTCTGTAATCGAAGAAAATCAATTTTTATATCAAAGTCTGCGAAATTTGTGTCAAAATTTAATCTCTCTTCAATTCAAAAAACTTAAGGCAAGAAGAAAACTCCGCTACTCGAAAAGTTTTATCTCTTCTCTCGAGGTTCAAGTATATATATATATATA